TCAATATCTACATACATACATGCAATTTAAAGTTGAATACAATTTATAAAATAATTTCAAGTACACATTTTACAATATCATATACATATTTATTCAGAAAACCACTTGAAATAAAAATATTGATGAAGGCGTTCCTTGGACAACATTCATGTCAATTCATTTTTGCAACTTAATTCCCAGTCCCTCTATATATGTATATGAATGCTGTTGACATACACACGAAACTACTATAATATACTGAGATATTAAAGTAAGAGTGACAACAATATTAAGAAGTTGAAAAACAACGGAGGAGTATAAAAAGTAAAAAAAAAAAAAAAACTATTGAATTGTTGTATGTACTTGTGATTAACTGGGGATTCTTCCTTTTATTTTACAATAAAGACCCAACAAAAAATACATATATTAAACAAGTACACTGCGAATTGCTTTTCAAAAGATTTTAAAAGAGATCATGAATGAAAATTTTCCTACCGTCTTCCAATTTCTTATTCTTCTTTTATGAGAATACGATCAATGTATTAATGCAGGTACATGTGTAGAAACGAAGCTATCGTATAGGGTATACAAAGCTAAATGTATAATAAAAACGACCAAAAAAGTTGTTTTAAATCAGGTCCAATGGAAATAATACAAAAGAATCATAAAGCATGTATCAAAAATTTCACATGAGATTGAATACCGGAATAATAATAAAAGTAGAAAAGGAAGAATAAAATAACAAAATCTACGATATCATAAAAAACAGAGAGATGAAACAGAAACAAACAACAAATTTCGAAGATCGACGATGAAGATGAAAAATATCAGAATCTAAAGTATCTTCGAGTATTTTCTATACGCAACATTCAGCTATACACTGGTTTCTTGTTTTTATGTTCTTTTTTCTTTTGGTTTTTGCTCGAAATCAACAAAATCGCGATTCAAAAACTGCAAGTGCGGCCTACATAAAAGGATGGAAGGATTTTTTTTTCTTTTTTAATTTTTTTTTTATTTTTCCTTTTAATGTTAAGATTTGAGAATATTTGTTGTTGCTGTTTTTTATTAATTTTTTGGTGTTTTCTTTTTTCATTTTAGTTGATATCAAGCAATAGATATTGATGCAAACAACAACTTTACAGGATAGAATTTAGGAATATTAAAAAAATTTCCATAACAATTTAAAACTAAACACATATATAGTTCGGAAATTTGGAGACAGCCTAAGCGATTTAAAAGTAATTATTGTGATTGCAAGTTGAATGAAAAACAGTAGAAACAAAAAGATTATGAGAAAACACTCAAAATTTTTCGGAATAATTTCAAAATTTGAGTACCTGCTAAAATTTTTAAAGTTTCTAGATCGAATGCTCTAAGATCCTCCATTATACTAAAAATAACACTCATACACCTTAACTAAGTAAATTAGCAAATTCAATTCAGTATTTGCGCTAGTATACCACTCTAGCTTATATTTTGGAATTCACCACTCTATGATTAATCAAAAATCTATGCAAAATTAGATGGTAATAGGAAAATTATTTCAGTAGATCCCATTTGAACTTCATATACTACATAACCTACATAAATAAAAACTACATAAATAACGAATTCTATAAACTGGAATTTGTGGAGTGAGGTGCTGATTTCACAAAGCACTAATTTCATTCACTAAATTTTTACATATTTATCTCTGTAATTAACCGAGTATGTAACCGTATATGCACGGAAAATCATTGTAAATGCGGCATCTGATGAGCATTTTTCATATTAATGCTTACTAAATTATTGCTTTATAATCCTATCCGCGACCCTGATCTTTTTTGATCTGCAAATATTACAAAAAGAGTGAAAAAATTTTTATAAGAAATCAAACTGCAAAAAAAATGTTTTTTTTTTTCGTTTTCCTCGCATCGTAAGATTACATCAAAAGCAAATTGTAGTAAAAAAACTGAAAAAAAAAATTTTTTTCTTCAATAAAGTGTAATATCTAACTAGCATTTATACTATAGTAGTATAACGATAGTATCTTAATAAGATAAAAATAACTTCTAGTTAAGAATGAAAATGAGAAACGCTTAATATTTTTTCATTTTTTTCATTTTTTTTCATAAAAAAGTACTCAACTCTGATATTATGCACACTTTTACACACGACTTATATATTTGATATGATAATATTGAATTTATAGAAAAAGAAGAACAAAAACAAAATGTTATACGCATAATAATGTAAGTGTTATATTAAGTCCAACTTATTTGTAAGGATACAAATAAATTTCATACAAAAAAAAAAAAATAAGAAAAACATTTTTTTAAGAAAGAACAAAAATAATCTCATAGGATTCTAGTTTGATTTCAATTAGATTATTCTTGACAGGAAGAAGCTCTTGTCTTCGTCGTTGTTGTCGTCGTCGTCGTTCTTATATACTGTTACACAGTCATCGCTTATTTAGATTACTCTTGCGTTTTTCTATATAGTATATGTATACTAAAAACTATTCTATACATAAAAATTCATACTACTCTTGTATAATCTTGTTCTTTCGTTTATAGAAAAAAAAAAGTTTCCCACTGCAATTAAATTATTTTCGTTTAAATAAAATAACAAAAAAAAATTGGAATGAAATAAGATAATATATGAATAAAGAAGATTTTTTAATAACCGCTCAGAGAATGAAGAAAAAAGAAAGTTAGTATTAATGTTGTTATATAATACTCGTATTTAAGTGAGCCTGTATAATTCAGGTACAAATATATTAGGTATAGGGAATAAAATGTTACAATAATTTAAGATTTTCAAGAAAGTTGAATCAATAAATCGTGAATATTAAACTGATCAACCGATCATTAATTATTATAGTTTTAGTTTTCAAACATATTTTATATGTACGTAATTATTAGATATTAAATGAAAATCGAAAAAATTTTCGCATTTTGTAAAATTATATTGAAAGTTTGTTATTTTTTTTTTCGAAATATTTCGCTACTTTCAAATAGATTTTAAAATTTTAATAGATTTACTTGCCAATTAAATATTTTTTAATGTATATACAACAGAACAAAGGTATACAAAAATTGCTATAATGAAAAAAAAATTTCTAATATCCTGTAGTTAATAACTTTAATATTATTTTAAATATTTTGTGAATAGAAAAAACATAAAATTTAAATTATTTTACAAATAAAATTTGCAGAAATGCCTTTTATTTTTATAATACCTAGATTTATAAACTATATAAACAAAGGACCATCATCCATAATTCCATATCTTTTGGAGAATAAAATTACTTATTAGGTTATAATGTTAAATTTTTAAATTTAAAAATTAAGATTATCATATTTCAAATTATCTTATTTAAAAGCAGAAATTCTACTGTATTTTGCAATGGAACATAAAATTTAGTTACATAATAATATTAAATTAATAAAATAAATGCTATTTACCAATTAATTAAGCTATAATAATCAGATTTAATGGGTTTTATAGAATATCTGAAGATTAAATATGATGAAAATAGCTAAAATGAATTTAATTAAATTATGTTAATTCTTAATCTAAAACTTAACTCGCCAATTTTTATTTAAAACTGTGTTCCTTATTTCTTACGTTATTTGAAAATCAATAAATAATATTCAGAAAATGATCAAAATTAATTCTTAAATAAATTGAGGTAACAAATTAATTAAACAAATTTCTTAGCATATACATATTGTTTTGTACGGGCTCTTGTTATTTTAATAAAATTTAAATATTATAACAAAGGAGAAGAATTTGGAAGTATTTTTTCTAATAGTATTTTATTATTAAATTTTGAAAAACTTTTTCTTGTATTTAATTGTTGTCCTTTGACTGTCTTTTCCTCGTTATCCTAATCTAATTGCTAATTTAATAAGAAAAACATTAAACTTTGAAATAATTTGAAATTCCTGAAAACAATGTAGCAACGTATGTAAAAATTTAACAACGTATTATAAAAACTTTATTGTGTAAGAGGATCCTGTTATACAATATAGTTATATTGCATATAACATCTCCAAAATTTCCTATTATTATAATCGTTTCGGAATATATTCAGTAATAAAATTAATTTTTATATTGACATTTTCACATTTTCCAAAATATTTCAAATAAAATTTCACTATGAAATGAAAAAACGTTCAATTTCAGTATAACATTAATTTATAAACAAATTAATAATGCTTCAGTAATAATTTGGTCTCAATTATTTTTGATCATTTTATTACCAGAATACAAAAAACTCAATAATATTTTAAAAAACTTAAACCAATAAAAAAAAAATGTGTAAAAACTTTCAACAAACATTCATGAAATCATATACCCAAAAAGAACTGTCATATTTGAATTTCAAATTTAATCCGCGACCAATTATCTTCAAAATTTTGTTGCAGACTAAATAACCTGTTTAAAGAAAAATTTTTGAAAGGTCCTTAAAAATACATTCAATTCTCTTCCTTTCATATGCTTACATACAATCAAGAGGGTTTTTTACAAGTGTACATCTATTTTAAAAAGATCACAAATGTTAAATACTGTGTTGAATAACATTAACAGCAACAAGAGATCCCTCTGTTATATTACATTTTACACGTCGTATAAGAAAAAAACACATAATGCTTTGCTGAGTAAGGTTAAAATTAAACTTTATTAAAATGTTAAAATTATTTTTAATAAAATTTGAAAAAAGGAACAAAAAAATAAAATTTCCAAGTTCAACATTTTTTCTTAAATATTCACCACTTGTTAAACTGATTTCAATGTGGGGAAAAAATAAGTACATGTAAAAAGTTTGCGTCTTGTAATAGATTTTTGTCATACTACTATTTTATCTTACATTACAATGTACATTAAATTTCTAAAAAAATCGCTAATATTAAATGTCTAACAATATTTAACTCTACTTTTAGTGTAATAGATTTTGAAATTTTTCCAGGTATTAAATCTCATTTTTTGCTGCTTTTAATCAACGCTCAAAAAGTTTTGTTTTTCCTATAAATTTATTTAGTTTAAATTTATTTTTAAAATTGCTCTTTGAATTATCCATTGAACAAAAATGAAAAAAAAATCTAACTCTTTTCTATGCAGATGGCAAAATATTTTTCCAACAAAGAAAAAAATTATCTAAAAAAATATCTTGTAAAATCAAGCAGATGTTCGAATTTCTTTAAAGCACGCTAAATACCGAAACATATTGAATTGAAAATCTACTACCTATACCTCCACACTCTGCAACAGCAAGAATTTATTTTGATAAAAATAATCAAAAATTCACCTTGAACACAAAATAAGTACGACTATTCAACAATGCTATCATACCACCATCTGTGTAGTTTCAAGCTGTATAACAAATATCTTCCTAACTGAATTCAACATACAAATGTTAAATAGCGGACTCCAATTGGAAATTCAACATTCTCAATAATAAAATTATGATAGTACACAAACAAGTCTATAAAAAAACTTCTCTACCTAACATGTACAGTAAGCAAGTGTGTGATAAAACGAAAGAAGAAGCTGCCATGCGACTCACGTCTATGGCACGCGTTTCTCATTCTGTTTTCTATATCGAATTGCAAAACATATTTCGTTTCCAAACAGTGTACTTGAACTTCGGGAATATTCGTTTTTTCCCATAATATATTTTCAATTTTAGCTTTTTTCTTTCTCTTATTATTTTTGATTTCATTTTTATTTTTTTCTACATTCACACACACAATTAAATTTATTTTTTTCCTCTTTCCTTTTTCGTATACCTTTCAGACTGGTGTTTTGCTAACAGTACAAGTTAACGGTATGGTTAAAATATTAAGTTTACCATATAGGGTGAATAATTGTTTTATTCTATCATTTAAGGTATTTTGAATGTACGATCATTTTTATGGTGAGTGGTGAAATTTGTTAAAATAAAGAGTGAGAGAAAACTGTTAAAAGCTAACGTAAGAGAGAAATAGTAAATTAAAATGGATAAAGCAAAATAAATTACAGGTAGATAAACTGTAAAGATTAAAATTGAAGGGAATAGAGAGAATTAAAGGTATGGTGAACTTGTCTCATTTAAAGTTTATTAATAATTTAGAGTAGCATAAAAGGTAACAAAGTTGATGTAAAAGCAGGTTTACGTTGAATATTCTTATTCTGTAAAATATCAATGTACAAATGTATTATCTTTATGTATGTTCTACATGAATGCGTAACATTAAAGGAGATCAAAATAGAGAAAAACTCATGTTAAAAAAATATTGTATTCTAATATTAAGTCAAGCATAACTTAAATAATAAATTTCTTGAGAAAGAGAATATAAAAGCAAAATTTTAAAAAAATTGGTGGGGGATCATACATTTTGAACTCAACATAATGTTCAATGCAAACAAGGGAATTGGAAGAAAGGAAAAATTTAAACAAAAGGCTAGTTGGTATGGAAAAACACAACAACAAAACAAATTGTAATTTTTTAAAATGATCTTTATGTTATTTTTACTCGTTATTCTGTTAAAAAGTTGTTGTTGCCTGTGGGAAAACTCGCAAGTGTGCGGTATTATTAATAAGAGCTGTTTTCAACGAATCTTGCATTTGCTTATATGAAATTGGTATGTTTTTTACTTGATTTAAAGATTGGACAGGTATACGTTTAACATGATGGTAGGAAACACATCGCAATATTGTTATAATAGGTTGTGCGTTTATGTTTGTTTGAATGTTATGTTATATTTAATGTTATATGTTTTGTTTTTTTCTTTTCTGTATCCCACGCTCTCAGCAGGACTTATGTTCTTTTTTTCTTGTTGTTTATTTTTAGAGATCTTTTTTTATTTATTTCTTTTTTAATACAAAATGCATTGGTTTAGGACGAAGGGATTCATTTCTTTTATAGTTATCGTTGAGTTAACTGCTTTAATTTTAATATATTTTATTATTTTTTTAAATAAAAGAGAGCAAAAAAGGACATAAAAGTAAAAAGAAGAAAAATAATTTTTTTTACCTGTTCTGATTTAATGTCTTTAAGAAAATTTTTCGGTCTATATATTGGCAGAGAATTGAACTTGATCAATCAGTTTAAGATTTACTTCGCAAGTGTTCACATCTCTTCTCTAAAAATAAAATAAAAAACAAATCAGAAAAAATTATTATTATTGAACGGATTTAAAACAAAAAGTAATCTGAATTAAAAAAAAAACAATAAATACAAAAATTAAGTGATTTAATTTTATACGGTATTAAAAATTATCAAAGAGAAGTAAAAATATGGCCAGTGCTTGTATAAGACCAATAAATATAAATAATCAACATCGTAGTAATAATTTAAATTTATCTAGTTTACAAAATAATCAAAATTTTATAATAATATCACAATCGAATTTTAATCAAATAACACAAGAACAAAATAATACATCAGTATCACCACTACCTCTCGCAACAACAGCCACAACAGTGCCAGTAAATTCAATAACATCGCAAAAATTAAAAAATTTAGCTGTAATAGCGCCAGCACCAACATCTTCTTCATCCCTATCTACAATTACAACCACAACAACACATTCAAATTCAGTACTTGGCATGAATAGCATTAATATCCAATCAAATCAAAGTAATCCCACAATAATGCAACAGTCAAATAATTGTGGAATTGGTGGTGGTAATGGTAATAACAATAATTCAAATATTTATAAGAAAAAATACACCTACGCAAATATGCCATATGGTACTGAATTACCACCATCAGTTGCAAGACGTAATGCACGTGAACGTAATCGTGTAAAACAAGTAAATAATGGTTATGCAAATTTACGTCAACATATACCGCAAACAATTATTAATGCATTAACAAATGGTGGACGTGGTGCTAGTAAAAAATTAAGTAAAGTTGATACATTACGTTTAGCTGTTGAATATATACGCCGATTACAAGATGTCTTATTAATTGATGATAATATAAGTGAAATTGGTAGCGATGGTGGCAGTTTATATAGTAATAACAGTAATATATCTGGGTCATCAATAACTGATTGTGAAACAAATTCACCACAATCAACACCATATTATCATAATGCTGATAGTCCAATTAATAATCATCATCAACAACATCATAATAATAATATTAATGGATCATTATCAACATTAACAACAGGAACAACAACAACATTAACAAATGATAATGGATATATGAGTAATCATATTAGTTATTCAGATGCATCAGTTAGTCCAGCACCAAGTTATACATCAGATATATCAATAGGATCAAATCATAATAATCAACATAATAATAATAATAATTATTTATCACAACAGTCACCAAATTTAGAAAATCATAATCATAACCCACATCAACAATTTAAATTTGAACCATATGATAATGGTTATAATTCAATAACAGACACAACACCAGAAGATGAAGAGCTCCTAGATTATATATCATCATGGCAGGAACAATAATTTATTTTTTTCCATAATATTTTTGTAAGATATCAAGAAATGTAAAACTAATTTTACAAAGAAAATATAGGTAAAGCATTTTTGTTCCTAAAATTTTAAAATAAGTTTTTATAACACATAAGTATTTTGTATAAAAGAAACAAATGAGACGCACACAATCCAGTGAAATTTAAAACAAAAAATAATAATATTTTAAATAAAAATTTTAAAATATTAAAATTTATTTAAAAAGAATAAAAAAAAATTTGCTATAAAATCCAAATGATGAAAAATTCGAATATAATTTTTATAATGTATTCAAATTTTAGGACTCTAGTCATTCCAGTGTAAAGACAATAGTTAATTAGTATTAGTTAAAAGTATTAAATTCAACTTATTGAATTTTGATTTTGAAAATACCGCAATTTCAAATATTGTAAATAATTTTTTAAATTTTAGATTTTCCTCTTCTTTAAGTTAATTTTAATTTTTAAAAAATTTTTCTATACCTTTATTATTTCCATACTCTTATAAATAATTACCTATACATTGCTATTAAATTAAATATACTGTTCTTTATAATTATTATTATATGAAATTGAAATACCAGTTTTTTTATTATTTTTATTAAGTTTAACTTAAATTTTATTAAGTTTTGTTAATAATATTTTAAACAAACATTAAACATTACAAAAATTTTGTACTTAAAAAATAAAATTTATTATATTGTAAATTTTTAAAATTTGAATTTTTTACGTATTGTAATTATTATTATATAATAACATTTATTAATTTTATATTTTTCTATATATTATAAAGATTTTATAAAATTAAATTGAAAAATCTTGTTAAGTTTTTAATTTTTAAGTTTAAAATTAAGAAGCTCAGAACATTATAAAAAAATTGGAAGACACTAAACTATTAGAATTAAAATTAAGTACCTCTAGATTTTACAAAAAAAAAAAATTACTTTAGTGATAGCGAACAAAATTGGAAGACAAATAATCATAAGACAATAAAAAAAATTATTATATTTTTTTTTACATAAAATATTTTTTTATTAAAATAAAAAAAATCAAAATATTTTTGAAAAAAATTAAAAAGAAATTTTTTATTTTAACAAATTTTATTTTTTTTTACAGATTTTGAATTTTCGATTTTCAAAATAATTAACCCTTTACACTTATATTTTATACCCAATGCAATGATGCTTTATTATTTAACCACAAGTTTACATAAGTTTTAAGTGCGCCTATCTTATAAACTTCCATGATTAATAAAAAAAATCGAAATTTTTGGCAAAACTTTTTTTATTTCTAAGAACTTTGCCAGAATTGTAAGTGAATAAGCTATTTCATGAAAATTTTCAATAATGAAGCAGTAAAAATTCTTAATTTAAGATTACCAATTTATTTACTTGAATTTTAAAAGAACATATTCGATTTAACAATCTAAGATCGTAACTCCGTCACCATATTTGTAAGAAAACATAATCTGCGATTAAATCAGTTTACACCTCCTTGAGATTAAAGTTTCTTTCAGTTTGATTTTAAATCTATACTTTAATAGTAAACCAAAATCAGATTAGAAAATTAAAATTTCATTAGCAAATGAAACTTTCGTTAGGATTTTAGAAAAATTACACAAAATCTTTAAAAGAATAAGAAAATTCTTTAAAAGAATAGACGAAAACCGAACATTTAACCTGCTGATATTCTTAGAAATCTCAAAAATCAATTTAAAATTTGAACATTACCAGTACTTTATGTTTTAGAATTCTAAATTTACCTGTTTTAATTTCAAAGAGAAAGAAATTTTTTGTCAACAGGTACATAAGAAGATTTTCAAATTTGTAGATTTCCACTTTGTATAATTTAAATTTTTATTTAATTCTATTGTTTTATATTTTTAAAAATACTTAACTATTGTTTTAAAGTAATTATTTTCTTATAGGGTAGGTTCAGTTGGACAAAAAGTATTAAAAAAAAAAGCAGATTCCTGTAGATTTTTTTAAGGTCATTGATAATAAATTACAATTGAATATAGAAACTACGCATAAACTATGTAAAAATGTGTGTTTTTCTTACATTAAAACCCTATATGCATAATTGCAAAATATACGTACATATATATATTGTGTGGTTAATATTAAAAAGCGGCTATATTATAAAATTAAATTTTAAATATCTTACAAATCGAAGCATGGATTCTCAATTTTACAAAAAAAAATAGGCAGCCAGTTCTCAATATTTATTGAGGTATGAAAGTTTGAAGAAAACGCTTCATTTGATTAAACTATAAATTTTTTTTAACCTACCTAACTGTACTTTATCTTGAATAATTCAACTAAAATCGCATCCATTAATAAAAAGCAAATTAAAATTTAACCCTCTTGTGAATTTCTAATAAGCGTCATTTCCGTTTGTCTTCATTTATTCTTTTAATTTTCTCAAAAATAATATAGTCAAGAAATTCCTTTTACCAATTGTTCTATTTCCTTTAATCACGCTTAAGTTAAAAAAGAAATCATAATTGCAGGTTTCATCCACAAAATCTAATTCATACAATCAAATTAACCAAAAAGGAAGCAAAAACAAGATTTTGCATAATATTATTCCTAAAGAAAAAGATCCTTTTACTATTATGATGCTATTGTTTGTAATAATAAATGTTATGCAAATCGACACGCGTTATAGCGTTAACTTTTTCTAGTATACTGCAAACTAATACAATGTCTTGAGGAAGTATATTAAAAATAAAGGTACAGTTCTAAAAATATAATATTTAAGATATTATGAAAAGTGTTTAAAGAAACTCATAAATTGTAATTGGATATCACTTAAACACTTAATGTGTATACGCACGCTTTTAATAGACGCCTCTATTAATTCTTTATTTTTGAAACATAAGTTTTATGTTATCCTTAGTATTAATTGAATTGCAATTTTTAGGACATATGGTGAATTTTCTTAATGTAAAGAAGAAAAATTAGGAATACAATTCAGTAAATCAGAATGGGTAAAGGCTATTAAATTAAGTGGGGCAGATAATACATCCAGTGCAGTAAATTGAAATTATTAGTCCACTTCATAACGACTATTATATATGTACATCGCAAGATCAGAAGTACCTGCATTTTCCACAACAAATTTTATTTATCACATTTCAGTTCACTGCAAGTATACTTTTGCACCCTGTATAAATATGTTTTTCTTTTGAGTTCTGCGTAACTGTACATTCCCACTTTAGGCAACAATCATCACATGTTTACTTTTGGCCCTAAAAAAAACTAAAAATAAACGTAAAATTAATTTTCACAATGCCATTTGAGAATTTCATTTGCATTAGCGCTAAAGGGATGAACAATGAACATGTTTCCGTATACCATAATGAGTCAAACTGGATTATGTATAAGAATTTTTCATAATGTGAAATTTTTGTTTTTGAACTGCAACAAGAAAATTACATTTTAAACATGGTATACGCAAATATTTTTAATGTTATTCATAATAATTTCATTCATTTATCAAGAAAAAAGGATCATAGCACACTTTTTTAAGGAAGTAGGAGGCACTTTAGAACATGTCATTTAACAACTTTATTTTCATAAACAACATACTACTACAACTTCTTTTTATATTCCTTAATATTTTCATAATAACATAAATTCGCTTTCCTTTAATTCTATACCTACTTCATTTCTTAATATAAAATATTTTGGTCCTTTTGTAATTGTTATGTCTTGTAAAATATCAAATTTCAGCATAACATTAAAGTATTTGTGACAATATATTAATGTTAAATATTTGAATGAATTTTGCTTTAAGATTTTAAATAAATTATATAGAGATGAAGATAAGAAGGACTACATTTAATACAACAAAAAGTGATTATAGTTTTAAACTGTTGACCATAGTGTCCATTTCTCTTAGTACGTAAATATCATATGCAATTTTTAATATGGAAGTTGAAAAATCTGACTCAAACTAATTGTATGAATATCAAGCAATATAGAGAATACGAAATAATTACAGCATAAACGAATCTGGAATTCTGAATTTGGTGTTGTAAAAGTTTTGGTTTTGTTTAAATGCATATTACGAATAATGTACCACCCTTGGAATTAAAAGGTAACATACAAAATGTATTATTAACTACGTTGTATCGAAATATTCAGAATGTTCAAGAACTAAAAGAGAAAAACATACATATAAATATACAATCATTATTAAAATTCAATTTTATTATACTTGCAATTAAAAATTTTTATTTGAACTTCTCATTACTGCAAAAATCTTCAAAATACTTTTCTCATTTCATTTAATAACTGCATGGAATTGCAATTTATATAGAAATTGTATATAATTTTTAAAGAAAATCTCCTCAAATTTACGAATCTTTAATATATATTATTTATTTTTTTTTTTTGAATCGCAGACATATAAATCCGTAATTTCATTTTGACTTCCTGAAAAATAACAAAAAAAAAAATAGAAACATTTTTATATTTTAAAAATGTATGGAAAAAATTACCATTTTGGTGAATTAAAGTTAGCCAATTTCCAATTCTTTATTATAGATGGTGTGTGTAAGTTATGAATTAGCATACCAAAGTTCGTATTATATATGTATGTACCTCAATTGTGAACCTGTTCCAAAATAATAAACTTGCATAATTTGTGAATTCAAATGAATTTTTATTATAAAATTGGTTAACAATTAACTATATGCTCTCCACTCTACATTCATTTTAATTCGTTTACCCTTTATTAAAATCGAAAATTTCTACTTCTACATAATTTTATAAGTATAGAATATATAAATTTTTACGACTATTACTATAAAGTTACCATAGAAAACACCGTTATATGCACATACAATTGCATAATAGAAGAAAATTTCCGATTTTCTTTCTTATATTTGAGTATATTCTATGTCATACACTCGCCATGATAATAACAGTCGTATTTATACAATGTGTTTGTGTGTTTGGGTAAGTGTTATTATTTATTGAAAAACTGCATTGTAAAATTGCCCAGA